CATTTAATCCGATTGCCAGAGCGCCGTGTTGAGGATCGTGTTACTCGTTAAAACCTGCTCTTGACTTGCTTCTCATCGCGAAACACCAACAGCGTTTCAGAAGAATTTATTTTTCGCCTTATTACCAAGATAATAAAGCGTCTCTTTACATGAACGATCTTTTACAACGTGTAATGCGTGTCTTTCATGCTCGATCCAATTTTTTACGAGTTTCGGGAGAAAAGGTTAACGTTTGAGAATACAAAGAATAGGTGATATTTGCCAATATGCAAAATTTAAAATTCCGACGACTTTAACGAGCTCGCGATCTTATATTGAAATAAGAATATTTCGATGGAACGATGTTTCGCGATTCATTGATTGTTCGAATTCATGATAAAGCAGCGAGGTCCGTACATATTGTAGTGAACAGTAATAAAGAGTAGAATTTAACAAGCACGTTAAAAACACATTATTAAATTCTTATCTTTCTTTCAATAAAACGTACTAGTTTTAATTTCAGCTAAAAATAATCTCAATTTCAGATCTATTTGACACAGCCCGTAACGAGCCAAAGGTAAAATATTTATTCCTAAAAATAATCTCCAATTTTCTTAATTTAACGTTACAAATTCAACTAGTATGCAATATTCAAACTGTAAATAAATATTTTTCCTACGTAATAGTAGTAGTAATAGTAGTAGTAGTACTAGTATAGTAGTAGTAGAGGGAGGGTGGATGGAACCTTATCAATAAATCCTTATTATATGTTTGAACTTAGTCGAAGAGTCACTTAGATCTAAAGAGTTTTCGCTAAGTCAGTAAGGAGATTATGACATTTTTTTCCTATACGGGGAATGCGGGATTTGAAACTCGCGACCTGTTACATGATGTTAAAGATCACATGAATTTATTCCATATCTCTTATTTCTATTCCTGCGTAAATCACAGAAAAACAAAAGAAGAACTAATAATAATTACATTCTAATTCAATTATTTTTTAAAATAAAATTTGCATAAAACAAGTTAAACTAAAAAAACAAAGTAATGATAATGAAATCAATTATTTTTTTAAATAAAATTTGCATAAAAACAATAAGTTAAACTAAAAAACCAAAGTAAATATGTTAATAAAAACTAAAAAAAACTTCCTTATAATTTAACTTTAACTTATAATTAATTTTTCTAGTGTAACTAATTATTTTTTGAAATTTATATTTCATAAAAATATATAATGGATTATATCTAATGATTCCTAGTCCTCCAGGTTGGGGGTTAAGGCGCCAGGTTGATTCTCTGGCACATATAAAAAACTTATAATACCAAGAAGCCTAATAAATGTATATAGAAACGGGAAAACGACCGCAGGCTGTACAAGACCCCGTTACATATATATGTATATATTTCATAAAAAATAATTAGTTAAAATAATTAGTCCTTATTTTATCTTTCTAACTTATGCAGAAATAAAATATCTATTTTCAATTTGAACGACATACTAATTGAAGATCATTAACGTTTACTTCTCAATACGTGCAATCATTGCTATGGAATGTTAGATGTTTGAGACTTTCATTCTCTTACACCTCTATCACTTTGATTCTTTCAGTCGTAGTCGTCCCAATTTCTCGCCGTTCTTTCTATCAAACTTTGATCTTGTAATTTACTCAAGTATCCCCGAAACCTTTCTTTTGCTGCCTCTTGCCACGGTTTAGCAACACAAAAATTTTCTACGATAGATTGTCAATGGTTACAGTCATTCTGCCAGTCGTTTCATCCTGACTCCATCTACTAGTCGATACTTCGAGTAATCTTTCCCGGAGATGCCGATACTTATGCAAAATTATTAACTCTTCACATAACAGAGACATCTGCTCCTAATTTCAAAAATTACGTAAGTAATTTATGCCAACATAAATTCATGAGTGACATTTTACGCGATAAAAGATCCTACATAAATTCAATAGTGATATTCAACCGTGACAAATAATTCGCGTCGTTTCTCAAAACCGTTAATGTAAAATATGACATTATTTCTCTCAATTAAAATCTTTGTCATATTTCAAATTAAACGAAATTTAAAAAATTTGTTACAAAGCCAATTTATTAAAAACAAAAAAGGATTGAATTATCACGCTGACTCGCACAAGAATTTATCGTGCTATCTAACATGAGCGCCGATTAGGTTTTTGATTGAATTATATAGATGAACCGGGTTGGAGATAATTCGTTCGGATTAAAAATAAGAGCGTTACCTCAATCCTGTGCGAATTGGACCGAACATGGCGAACATCCCATCGGTCCATCTAGGCTTTGAACACTTGCCAATACCAGCTGTTTGATCCGCATCGGTTTATCTATTTAGTTAACGTATTTACCTACCTGGATCAAAATGAGAATTTTCATTGCTCACGTGATATCGATTTTCGTGATTGATTCGCGAGAGAGAATAAAGCCCTCTTTTCCTTTATCAAAATCCTTTTTCCCCATACCAAAAACTAGTATTAGAAGTTGAATCAGTGAAACATTTAAAATATTGTAAATTCATAGTATATATACTGATAAATGCGGTTTATATAGGATACTTGCCCTAGTTAATATCACTATTTTTTATAGTCCTATTTTACATCGCTAATAAGAATTTTGATAAATTGAACTTTGCGGCATAAAATAATATAATAATAAGCGATGTGCAAATATATTTGCTCGCTATCCTTTTTGACCCCTAAATTACTGCTGTGACAAATCTAATAACTCGCGAGACCGTTTCGACGTTGAAAAGCTAAGGAGGAGTGAAATCATAAGAGCAAGAGGAAGGAGGGGACACGGATTGATCTCGACCTCTCTCACTTCGTTGAATCGTGATTTAATGTCTCGAGGGGATGTGCTAAATCGCGCGCGAGGATCCTTAAGGACTACTTTTGGCCAGAAACGCGCCTCGTTGCGACGAATATCTACAGGGATGTATGTAAATGTTCGAGACGATGGAGCTTGGCGGTAATGTAAATAGGAAGGTGTGTCGCTCGAGTCGAGAATAACTGAGACTTAATTAACGCGCTGATAGTGCAAAACCGTGCTCGGTGTCTCCTTGCCAGACGATGCCCTTTCGATGCGAGAGAAAGGGACGCCGCGACAATTTTGGCGTACCACTGAGAATAGTCTTAATGTCCAAAGAGGTAAACAATGTTTACCTACGGTATTAATTTATGAATATTTACACAAAATTATCTCGTAATAGAAAATAAACTAGAAATAAATAATTTATGATTCCATATTTGTAACATCAAATGATTTCTCTAACATAAATAATTGTTTATTTTTTTAAAATTAATTTTAATGTTTAAAGTAAATATTAATACTTTTTTTTTATAGCATCAAGTATTTTGAATATTCGTTGCTGCGTATTTGTATTATGACTAAAAAAAAAGAGTATATTGATAATAACAATCAAAATTTATAGGTATTATTAAAATTGTTCTATCATTGAACTGAAAAAGCTTTGCAAATCAATTTAAATTTGTGAAACAGTTTTTTCTGTTGTAAAACATACAAATTTCGTTATATATAAAATAAACACCGATACGTTAATTAAATAACAAACGAACAAACGTATTACGTTTTTTATACGGTTTTCCAGGTCAAACTCATTTATTTCGCTTTTCAGATAAAATAGAGAATTTTTAAAAAGATGATAAAACCAGTTCTATATATTCCTATCTACCTAATAGATTTCCGTACACACAGCGCATCATTATATTTTCACCATGATACACGCTAACGTGTAATTTCTGAAGATTACCACATTCATGTCAAATAGCACCTCTGATCAGTAGCGCGCGTTGTATACTTCTCTGGATTATTAATAATGCAACAATAGCATTCTAATAATGCAACAGACGTCGAAGCGCGATCGATTTCCACAATAACTTGGAAATGAAAAATTTTTCAATGTCGCTTTTATTTCTCGAATTCTGTTATACAGTGTTGAAAATTTCCGGTCGTAATTTACCAAATTACGTACATCTGCGCGATCGAGCATTAGAAAATGGAGACACTGAGCATGGTTTTTAGTCGAGATATCATCGAGCAATGTCTCCGTAGTTCACGATAATAAAACTATCAGTTTATATAAAGTACCGTTAGTCAAGCGATAAAAAGTGATGGGATCCATCACGAGATCCCTCGTTTCCTAACGTCAATGATAGATCAACCCTCTCGGGTCTTGCGTCAATTGGGATCTAAAACGATCAGGCTTAAAACGGAGATTTTGATGGGTCGAGAACCGGTTGATATTAACCAACGTTAACCAGCCATCAATCACTTGCCTCCACTAGTTTTACTCATACCGTGCATGCGGAGATCGTGCCCGATCAAAGCGCCGCGGTGAGATCAATTATTAACTCTCAGTTACCCGAATCGTGGCGCGTAACGCAAGACGCATCTTCATCGTCGTTGTCGCGTCATCTCGCAGATAAGCGAGACGCTCCTAGATCCTAGAGGTGGGCAAATTAATTCAAATTCGAATCGAATTATGGTGGTTCTCCTTTTCATATTTCCTGCGACCAATCTTGTATAAGGACGTATCAATTCTTGTGCATGCGCCTGCGCTTATTCGTCGGTTATCATTAGATTCTATTGATTGCGTTGAAAAGAAAAACTAATTTAAAAATAACAAAGTATTTTTAATAACGTTTTAGATTTTTTTAAATAAACGAGAAAATAAATCATTTTACAGATATTATAAAAAATAGACAATATAACAAATGTATATTAAAAAGATCTTCTTTTTGTGTATTAAAAAGACCTTCTAATAAAATTTTTATTAGAAGGTCTTTTATTAGTTTTTAATGCAAATTCAAAAAAAGTTTAATTCAAATTCGACTCCTTTTCGAATCAATAAAATTCGATTCAATTCGATCTTACATTCGATTCGAAGAATTTCAAATACGATTCGATTCGTTTCCAAATGTTATTATTAAAGATTCAATTCAATTCGATCTTACAAATGGTTAATTCGCCCACCTCCTCTATCTAAATCGAGACCTGCTGCTCGTCGCAACGGTGCACGAAGCCGTGCTGCTGCTGCTGTAGTTGTTGCTGCTGCTGACGCTGCAGTTGCTGCTGTCATCCGCTGTTCTGTTCGGGTAACAGTATGCTGACGGATTTGCGGTTCGTCGTGGAGACAACGTGATGGCCGTCGTTCGTTGCGGCCAGGGCGGATGTCGGTTGTGGCCGATGAGACGGTGCGACCACGCGCACCTCCGGCCTAGGTGAAGCTTCTCTCAAAGGGCTACCAACGCCTACCAGTTCCTCGGGATTCGTCGCCAGCACTGCCGATGGTCTGCAACGACCACGAAAAGACCGTTCGTCTCATGAGTGCGCGTATGTTTGCCTCGGTCACATTAACTCGTTAATCCGTACTCTATAAAATGTTTGGAATAGAATCTAAATTTAGAGTGGCAGGGAATGACAATTAAGTTAAAAAAGAATGACTCATTCAATTTTTAAAAGTGAAATTTTACTCTTTAGAATTAGATTCCATTCCAAATATTTTTTAGAGTAAAATGAATGTATTTTATGCATTTTCAAGGTTGTCATAAAAACTTTTTCTTGATTTGAAAGACAAAATTTCATAATTTTCCTTGATCTTTCCTTTCAATGTAGACAATTCATACATTTTTTAATAACTAAAGTTGTTATTACTTTGATATTAATGAACAAATAAATGAGACTACTAAAATTTTGTCAGAATTTGTTAATTTCGTATTTATATTTATTGAATTATTACATTAACTTAAATGTATAATTTTAATGTCACCAGTTTCAATTTACACCGACATTACACTGAAAGAAAAGATTGACTGAATATGGCATAACATTTTTAATTGGCTGATGTAACCAAAAATTGATTGCTGCAGCAGCCAATTAAAAATGCTATGCTATATTTTATCATTTAATTTACTGCAGCAGTCAATCCTTTTTTTCAGTATATAGAAACTACCTCGTTTTCTGCGGAGACACTTAATTTATTTCGCAAAGTGCAGTATTTGTTGACGCATCAAAATTAAGTAAGATAAACGAAATGTTTACCTACCTATGCTGCGGGGGTGGCGTGGGTGTTCGCGATAGAGGGAAACTGGCAACTTCCCTCGTCACCGAAAGCGACCGGATCGAGCCGAATGTTTGGTCCGGCGATAAATTGGCCCCGACGCTTTGTACCATGCCGCTACTGGAACATGGACATCAGTTAATTGCCAATTAGGCTGTTCACGGAGAATGCACGCAGCAGTGCTCTTCTGTCTTAACCCTTAAGTTCTCTCCGAGTGTCTCCAACTGTGACTCAACTCGACTTTGTCTTGCGTTTCGCGGAATACAAGTGAATCACTTATTCAAGGGGTTCTGACCAACAGTAGACTAACAAGGAAAGTTCAGCGACCCGTGAACTCAAATAGATTTGAAACTTCGCACTGATATAGATTTTAGGAAACGAAGCGACCGATCCTTCAAAGAGATAAATCAATTCTCTTAAGTTTCTCCAATATCTTGGAAATCGTCTAAATTATTTGAAGTTAAATCAGAAATGTTACAACTTTTTTAACAAGGGTAAAACCGAAGGATTTCAAACAGTTCTCATCGAAAAAAATTAATTCGTGATTTCAGTCTTATTCTGAGCGTTTTAACTTGAAAAAGAACACTCGTATATGAAAACAATTGAAAAATCTCAGAAAAATTAACGTTGTCAAATGTAATAAAGATAAGTGGAATGAGTAAGAAAAAAAACTCGTGTTTATAATACGCGGTTTCAGAACGCTGTAATTTGCTCGAGTACGTCAATTCTCAATTAAATATGCCTAATAATCGCGAGATGACGCATCGATTCTTTTTCTAATAGTTCTTAGGAACTTTACACTTCGTTGCTCCGAGCAAGGTTCTACCGGATCGTTATGAAGATGTGATTAATACACGCAAGACGATAATTATTCTCGCATTCGTACATATCCACCAAAACGCGTTATTAAATCTAACTTCGATCGCACCTTCAACAGCTGGGGAAAAGTTATAAATACTGTAACTTACGAGGAGAACTGACTCTCCTTTATATCAAACAGATTAACTTCCTGTCATCGATATAAAAAGGATCCAGGGAGATCCTCTATCGACATGAGGAAATGTGGAATACATGAATTCTGTGCTCTTCGTATAGAGAGATTCTAGACAGAATGTGCGGAAAAATCTATAGAGGCTGACATATAAAAATTTGCCTATATATGAAGGCTTACAGCAGATATATCGCTTTCATCCTTCGCTCTCTTTCTGCTTCTCTCTCGTCGCGCTGTTAACATTTATCAAGTGACGAAAAGCCTTCTGAATTTAAGAGCGGAGCAAAAAGCTAATCGATAACTTTGATAGGTACGAACTATAGGCGTACCTACGCATTCAATTTGCCTCTACACACGAAGCATCTGTGCCCTTCGTTGACGTGAAAAGAACGCCTCGTTCCTGTCCCACGTTCTACTAAAGAATCGCGACTATTTTAAGGATTAAAACGCGACCACGAGTTAAATGGTATAAGTGACTTTTCATGGAATTTCTCTGAACGTGACTAAAATGCGAGATACACTGCTATAGACATCAAAGGAGCATTAGTACAATGAGAAACCCATTTAGTTGAATCAATTAATTTCTTATTTGGATATAACCAAACAAAATCCTTTGTTGATGCAATAAAAAATTAAATTAAAGCAAAACTTTAGTTATTGCAATATTTTACTTGTTTCTGATAAACATTGACATCTGATAAATTTATTTATTAGAAATAAATAAAATGTTACAATAACCAAACATTTTGCTTCAACTAAATTTCTTATTGCATCAACCAAGGATTTCGGCTCTGTTCAAACAAGAAATTAATTGATTCAACTAAATGGGTTTCTCAGTACGACTCAATCCCTTCAGTTAAATAACATTTTATTATTTTTAACTTCCACGTATATCAAAATGTAAATCAATCTATTCTAAGTTATCTATTTTAATATGACGTTATGAATTTAACAGTGTATGCAGAACTGTTTTTATTATCCGTTAAAAATATCATGATAAAGGAGCGGAATATCCTAAAAATTATCTCATATTTTCAGGAAGAAATATCGCGTATCACATTGTTGATTAAAGTGAAAGTTTGCTTAATCTGTTTTTTATAATTTTTTCGTTTAAAAAAAATAGGTTTTTTTTTTCAATTTTCAACGTTAAATATTTCAATAACTAAATTCTAAAATTACAACTCTATTAAATAAAAATCTATTTATATAGTACTAAATAAATATAACGGGTGTTCAAAATAAAGCGTTACAAAATTTTTATCTCGGAAATACAGTATTATTGAGAAAAATTGTTCAGACAAAAGTTATTTGTTTCTTTACGTAAAATATGATGCCATACGTATAAAAGATGTAGGTTCCTATTTAAAAAAAAAAACAAAATTAACCTTGAAATGACTTTGAAACTTTCCATCAAAAAACCATAAATGTCATATTTCTCTCTTAAAATCAGATAATTTTTGTCTGAACAATTTTTGTCAGTAATGTCGTGTTTTAGAGATAAAAATTGATAACGCTTTATTTTGTATACACCCTGTATAGAACTAAATATAAAATATTACTTTTTATTGTACGTGTAATTTAGTTGCGAAAAACTTCGGCTTATTACATTTCATTATTTAGCACAAAAATTATCAAATGTTTTAATAATAAATATATAAAAATAAAGTATACACCATATAATATTCGCATAAAAATATTTACCAGCATAGTGCAGACTGACGAAAACAAGCTTGCTTGTCTTATTATATGATTGATACGTAAGTATAACGTGTTTCGCTTTCGTGCCGCGATAATTCGCGAAACGATTATCGAACAACAGGACAGGAAATAGTTGATCAAAGCGGATGATTATCGATATTGCAGCAGGGGCCCTGGATACTTCAAGAGATGAATTATTCATTTAGACCCGACCGGGCATGTCGAAGTTATATCCGACAAACTCGCTATTCCGCTCGCAATTGCTGAATTTGCAAACTTTTCGGTAAGATCGGTTTTCTCATGCAAGAGTATTGATGAAACGAAAGTCTCCTAGTTAGAAAGACCTCCGTCGATAACAAGAAAGTTTTGTAAATATAAAAAGTTTAGCTACTAGCAAATGCGCAGATTTACATTTTTACAAAAATTATAAAATTTATTTGATTTTTAATTATTGACACATTACTTTGAAGAATGCTGAGGCTTATATAGATTTCTATAATTTCCTGTTGCGAATTTAACTAGAATATTTATTGTAACATTGAGAATGACCCGATCGGCGTCGAAACGTTTATGTATGTAATCATTATTTTTATGTTTTGCTATTAAAGTTTCTTTGTTACCTAACTAGCTCTGAGCTCTCTTCTCGACATTTTAATTTATTAAAATTCGTTTATCTAAATGCGTGGATATATATGTTTTGAGACTGAAGGCATACAAATTTTTAAGTGAAATTTAAAACGTAGCGTCTAAATTGAAGAGCAAGTTTTATGCAAGTTGATAATTCTGAGTAAAATGGCTTCATTTGTACTTAATGACTATGCGGTTAATGACGTCTCCTATATCGTAAAAAGAAAGAGCTCTCTCTTGGGATTCTTTTGTTCTTATTTCATTTATATATACAGTAAAACGTTCATTCAACTGTATGAGTCGGCACCAACACATTGTACAAAAAATTATAGCGCGTTTATATTGTTGCATTACATTATTTTTATGCCTTAATCTTCAGCAGCACAAGATATTTTATTCGCCTAGGCTCTAAAATATATATTTCAAAAAAAGATAAGAGAGAAAAACTTGGTACATATTATTATGATAAATATATACTTTCTATATTTATATATAATTAAAATACTTAAAAGTATTTCAAACTTTACTTTGTATAGTTATATACATACATATAATAAAAAATTTGCAAGTGTATAAAAATATAAAAATACACGAAATTATTAGCATCTTAGATCCAGCTCGACCGTTAAAGGCAATTTCTTATTGGTTGTGTTTCTCACATGTATGGTCCTATAAAATTTAATATAAAAATATTAGTCTTATGAAGTTTTTTTTCATAACAAAGTGATATTAAAAAGTTTCTGCTAAATCACTCATGATATATACATACATATATTAAATCGAATTACATTATATAAACTTACTGGAATTACATTATTATATATGTACATATATTAACTGGAATTACATTATAGCCAGAAATGACTGTAATTGTTATAATGAGTGCCGAGTTACAATTAAAACTTGACAACTTATTAATGTTTAAGAGTTATTAACAGAGTTATTAAAAGTTATTAAAAACAAATAAATAGATTTTTATTGAATCGATAAGTATTTTTTAGTTTATCGTAAGAACTAACATTGATTATTGAAAGAAATAAACACGGTATTACGCATACAAATACATACACACGCACATATAAATATATAATATGGCATATGAGACGTAATATCCGCAAGTGTATCTCCAGCTTTTTCATTTTTCATAACACTATTTATTATTACATTGTGACACGTGATAAAAAATGACTGCATAAATAAAAAAAGAAAACCTTAGTCATATTCATCAATTACAGTGCGACATTATTCTAATATCAAATGCAGGTATATCGATATTGCATTTTAATTTAAAAAAAATAATTAAATGAATAAATTTAATATTATAAAAAAGCACTCTTATTCACAAAGGATTCCACACTAATTAATAATATGAAAAATTAATCTTCATGCAATGAGTTAGTATTCGTTTCACAAATATAGCTTATAATTAAACAGAAGATATTAATACAAAGTTCAATAATATGTAGTATTTGAATTATGATCAAAGATACAAATAACTCAAAAATTAATCATTATTAACTTTGTGTCTATGACATCTTTTGTTCGCTATTTTACATGTTACAGTATATGTGAATGTTGACTTATATAGTATATTTCACCAAAACCTAATTTTTCGTATAATTAATGAATAATTCTTTAATAATTTAAGAACAAGTTTACATTCAAAAACAAATGTACATTCATTAGATACTTATATAATATAACCGTGAATTTATTAAATATTCATTAATATACTGATTAAAATGTAATATGTTAAAAAACGTTTTACCAAAATGATTTTTTTGTCAACAGTCATGATTATCATGAAAAAGTCATTAATTTTATCAGTTACGTATTTCTAGTGACAAACGTGAAGGAATCAATATGACGATTGTGACGTATGAGGAAATTACGTAGCAGGAAATTACAACAGATCAGCAATGAATTAAAACATACGTTGACTATTGCCTATGAACTTTTATGTGACTTACTACTGAGCTATGTTTGTCTCATAGATGGATATAATACTCAATAAAATATGTATTAAAACCTATTTTGAGTGAACGTGGCCTTTACACGAACAGACACCGATATCGCTGATATGTTGAAAATGGGACTTTGCAATGTGCCGCGAATTTATAGTATATAATTGCAGAGAATCTTCGGTATCGCTAATAACTTCCTCTAACGTTTCTCTGATAAAGAAATTTAATTCATATGTAGTTTCATTCGTGAAAGTCACGCAGAAAATAACTGGTTCCGAGTTCGATGAAAGGAAGCGAACTTAAAATTGATTTACAAAGAAAAACAAGGAGAAAATAATATGACAGAAAATCGACAAATACACAATGTTTCTAAAATCTAATACCAAACTTCAAGAACATGTCCTATTTTTACACTCATTGTCAATATTAGTGACATTTAAAGTAATTTATATTGTCCGTTATAACAGTTTGAAATCCCTCGGTTTTGTCAAGCTTTGGCGTTAATAAATCGAATCTCAGCATTACGTATGTCACCAAAGGTGACATACATATAAGACGTATATTATGACGTATATTAAAGGATGAGTTATACTCACCTGACGGAGCCCGAAGTCACTAGGAAAGGCATGGGCGTCGGGCACGGGCTCAAAGGTGAGCTGCTCACAGAGCTGCGAGTGCTGCTCAAAACTGAGTGCGGACATTGCGGCGGGCCTACGTGCGGTCCTTTCGCACCGCTTCCGCCTTTGCTAGACGTACGGCCTTTCAGACACGGGATCTTCGGCCATCCGCTTACATCCTTGCCAGATACTCCTGAAACAACACACATCTCACTGATTATTTTAGGAACACGAGCGACGAAAACAGGTGCACTGATAAAATATCAGTAGCGAATCGTTTAACTTGATTAATTGATCCCAATTTATTTAGTCTCAATTTATGTACTTCAGATTTTTTGAAAAATTCAAAGTAAACTTTTTATTAATACACTGAAAAAAATGATGATATTTCAATAGCATTATTTTAATTCAAAATGATCTTGTCAATTTAATAACAGAATTAATGTGAAACAAATAAAATTTTATTAAAACAAGAACATAAATATAAATTTTTTTTTTATAATGGTGTTATTGAATTAACAAAATATTTTCAATTAAAATAATACTATTGATACAATATCATCTTTTGCAGTGTAAAAATATAGTTATCGAGTTTTTAATAATCCAAGAGACTGAGAATTTTTCATCAATACAGTTTCAAAAAAAATTATATAAAATATTTTTCATTTAGAGTTGGAAGTAAAGTTTACTTCAATGAATAGTTTATTCGAGTTTATTTACTATTAGGAAGATATATAAATTTCAATATTAGACAGCTATAAATAACGTAATTAACGTTACACAAAAATATTGATTGCAAACAATCTATTTATAAATTATTATTTGGTGTTTTGGAACGCATTGTATATATAACTGTACTAAACAGATTATAATAGATTATGCTTTGCGACAAAATATCTTCTTCATCTAAAAGCGTATCATGATAAAAAAGTTGATATTTTTAACTATCTCAACGTCATTATAAGCGGAAACTTTTATCTCTTTTTTTTAATAAGTTTTATTTAGCAATTTCAAAAATGTAAATTTGTTCACTTAACTTTAAATTGCATGTGCATAAAAACTTTGAGAATAAGATAAAGTATGTACGAACATATCACGTTAATGATAAATTTATATTCAATTATTTATCAAAAATTCTTCAAAGTTTAAATTGACCTAAAAATATAGAAAATAAATGCTTTATTATTCTTTAATCAATATGATTCAATATACGTATATATATATTTTTTTAAATATTATAAATTTTTATTTACGAGAGAATATCACTAATTTAGAAATTCTAGTTTTAATAAATTCTTTCACGCACATACCTATATATATATATATATATATATACATATATATAGAAAGAATTTAACTGATAAATAAAAAAAAGTTCCATAGCAACGAAAATTTTAGGAAAAAAAAACGTAAAAAAGACTATTCTTGCGTGATTTTTCTTTGATATTTATCTCAAGAATCATTATAAGATAATCATGTTGGTATGCGTGCTGTACGCCTATCACGAATACAGGAGATGTTGAACTCCTCCTGTATTGATAACATTATTGCAGCGGCAAGATAATGGGGTGTTCAGTATGCAAAGGGGAGCTTTCGAGACCACTTTCGAATCTAGTACGATTTGAATATACATGGCATAGTTAGTGATTTGCCGAAGTGATACGCGACTCTTTTGGTTATTTAGATTTCCGACATGAGATAGAAACCAAACATACATCAGTAAATGGAACGGTCGAGTCCTCATTACGTAGACGGCAACTAAATGCGCTCTTCGTTTGATATTAGTTATTATGGCGGACTCTAAATAACGCGTGTCATCGTTCGATAAGTGAAATAAAAATTGCGATCATATTCCGTACTGCTGAGATTATTTAATGTCGTTCTAAGCAAACATCCGACTCTTTTTTCAGTGACTGTTGGATAGGAAGATCTTTAAATATCGATTAAATATCACGTCAAACAATATAATAAAAAAAAGACTTGAAACGTTCGCAAATATAATACATTTCTGAAACTTTTGTTAAGTTAGCGTCCCTACTACTAAAAATAGGAATAAAATATGTAGTAAAGTAAGTGCTAATTTAGTGCTAATTGAGTACTCTATTCTTGAGTGCACAAGCTATTTAACAGAAATTTGCGTTTGAACGTAAAAATGCTAGATTCATGTCAAATTAACACCCAATCCAAACAAAATTAAAAAAAATTAAATGCCACAAAATACTAAACTCTTTAAGTACTTTTAAGTGTCTCGATTTTAATATCAGAATCGCAGTTGAACCATTTTTTACCTATCTGATAGTTTTTCTTTTCCAGTTAATTTGGATTTGCACGTGGAACTTTAGAATTTTTAATTCTTCATTAAAAAATCATAATTAATATTACAAGTAATTTTACTTTTACGATAATAACGCTTCTTCGTAAAAAGCCAAATTTATAATACCTTGAATCGCGATTGGATTAATTTAGATGCGGTGTTAAAAGATACTTAACATTTGTTTGTTTTAACGCTCGACAAATTTAAAGGTGCTTTTTCAACGATAACCGAGTACCAAAATTAGATGTTGTATATCTTAAAGGCCTAAAATTAGGAAATAATTTAACATTGGAATCACTCTGTATGTCGATTTTAAAAGAATGTATATTATTATTACCGCTTTTTTTCATTTGTATTTTCTAAGTTTAGGATATTAAAATTGACATAGAAAATTGACCAGAATTTCACATTTTATCATTTTTTATATCATCGAATCTTGTTAAACAAACAACAGTAAAATATCTTTTAAATCGAGATACTTATAGAAGCACTTAAAGAGCATTTAATCTTATGTTATTTTATTTCTTTTTTATTTTTCGTATTGAGGATGCTAACTTGACACGAATTAGCATTTTCATCTTCAAATACAGAAAGATTCTTACTCAAACTAAAACTCAGAAATTAAAATACTAAATTAACACGTAATTAGCACTTCATTTTGGTATATATTTTATTCTATTTTCAGTGGTAGCAACTTGACAAAGATTTTTGAAATATAGATTTGATAAACATTCTGACGATAGCACTGTTAAAGGACAATCAACTGCACATCACTGAAAAAAAGAGTGTGAAATTATTAGAACGCAAGGAATGTGAATACATTCTTGAAATTTTGAATTCTTTGTTTTAACGCGCGATTTTGTGTAATTTTGCAAAATTTATTACGTACGAAATTCAGGAATGCTCGTTGGGCATTCCCGAGATCACGGTCGCTCTCGCCAATTAAATTCTAGCTGCCTTCCAACGTCAACGTTGGATAATTCAGACAGGAAGGAAGCCGCTCAAATAGTAGTGCAATGCGGTGGACAAGTACAAGCATGAAATTTGTAACGCGGTCGGATTGTCGACTCGAGAGTCTGCATAGAGCGTGGAATACTCTGTTCTGCAATTCGGTCTTCCAACAATGGAGATCAGCCCGCACCAACAAAGCCTGTGGCCAATGTTTCGTTCCCAGCTATGTATGTACACTTCACGCGTACACGTACGAGCGCGAAAAAATTATAACTGTTGCCAAACGCATGACTGCACGGTGATGTCGTAACATCCCGACAAGACGAGAAAAAGTCGATGAATAGATGATGCTGCGTAACGACTGTACTCTTCCTCTATAATATAAAATGCGGAGTCATTTTATTACGATCGAATTATTTCATACAGCAAATATCGGTGATAAACATTTACATTAATATATTTTTAAATGTTAAATTTATCAGAGATTAAATAATATACAGTAAGTTATTTTTAATAAATATTGAAATATCAGAAGAAAACTGTTTTTTTCCCTTTGCGTGCACATTTTTATTAACGGTTGAGAATATAATATATACTATCTATAGAAGCTTTTTTTCTCGTAATGACCCGAGCTAGCAAAACATCAACTTTAATATCAAAATATGATAAATTACTGTGAAGTAAACGAAATTCTCGAAATAAACGAGTTTTCTCAAACTCTCTAAACACGAATATCTAATATTTTAAGGTGAAAGGTTATAAAGATTAGTGCTAAGGAGATTAATTTTTTCTTCCAGGAAATTAAATACAAAATCTTTTAGATAACGAAGACTGACGTAGAATTAAAAAGATTTAAAGGGAATTTTGAACACACGAAATAACAATTATTTCAAAGAAATTGTTAAATAAAAATCCAATATTTTATTTAATATATATATATATAAAACAACTGTAAATTCTAGTAGTATATCTAGTATAATTAAGTTATGATCAAATTCCATGCACTTAACGATTTCAATTATTTTTCCTCGGTCGTTTATTACTTTTATATCTTCTTTATAGCATCTGAACAAAAGCTTTCGAACTAAATTATTTATCGGCGGGTAAGGGTGTAGGAGCATGAATGTTTGTGCCATGCTTAGTCGTCACGTCGTCATCGTATAGTCGTGCGTAAGGATCACTTAATCTCGAAGTCAATAGCCGTCACTCTACTTCCGTCAGAATTTCTCGGGCTTCGTAAAGCTAGACAATAGCAGAAAAGAATGACGCAGCGGTGGACTAGTGGTTATTGCACCATCGTGTCGTAGGTACAAATCGCGCGGACAATAAGAGGGAAAGAAGGAATCACAATCCAGAGACCGAAAGTATCGGAAAACCGTTCGATATTGGTCTCGGGTGAGGTCTTCAAGTATAGAAAGTTTCGTCATGGCAGGACGAGAAGAGAAGAAGATGAGACGACAAGGCCTGCAAGCGACAGTCCGCCGGGATTTGCTCCTAACCAACGTCCAGACTCTCAATAAACTCGCGGCAAACCGACAATCGATTACCAGCATCCACGTATTCGTGGATGTTTCAAACTTACTGTCTTTTTTTTTAATTGAGCAATCGAAGTAAAAAAAATGACGATTATTTTCATCCCATATTATTAGATTCAAAAATTAAAATTGATTTCGATAAATGAAGTCTTGAATTGCTTTTAAAAAATATCAAGAGCTATTACAGAAAATGAGCAGAAAAATGAAAAAGAAATAGATTCTTTATGTGCAGGTACTCTTTATATTACGCGTTATATTTATTTCACTTTGTACAATTTTTATATAGGGCAATGTTTTTGTTAATAAACTCAGAGCTAATTTCTTTTTCCTCTAACAGAAATTTAATTTAATATCTATCTTCTTTTGACAGATTTTTTGAACTGTTAATTTTAT